ATAATTTTACCACTTGTTATTAAGTAAAAGCCGTAGTTAATTTTTTTTACCCTTTTGAATGGACTAAGAAATGTAAAGATAACAATTGAAACAGCTAAAACTAAAACTAAAGCACAGAATTAATAATAGTACTACGTAGCTAAGGTAATAACTAAAATGTAAGGTAGTAACTAAAAAACTTCATACCCTATTTTCCCGCCTTTAGGTGTGGAATTTTGCCTCCAAATTTATATGGGCCGACACTTGAAGTATAACCTATTTGATAAAAATTATCGTTAAAATAATTTCTCTATTGACGCATAACATACATTCGAAAAAAGAACATACAGACATACTGATTTCTAAAAAGGAGGAAGTCCTCAAGTTCCAACTTTTTATGAAGTCTGCTAGAAAAAAGTATTTTTTAAGTCTTTATTGACTATAGAGGGTTTGATGCACTAGATCATGTCACCCTCATAGGTACACAATCAAATATTCATAATCAAATAATGATAAATTCACGTAAACACAAATAAAAAAATATCTGTTCTTAATACCTAACAATACTAAAGGATACCAGCGGAGTTTCTCTGGCCGGTTTTAGGATTCCGTACCCAAAGGGTAACTAATGGAACCCTGTCTCACGATCCGTAATAGGTAGACAGACAGTTGAAATTTTTGTTGCCGCTAACTAAAAGGACAAATAATAAAAATAAAAATAAATTAAGGGGGTTCCCCTACTAGAAACGTTTTACGATGGTACGGAACCCTTCATTCGTGGGTCCGATTCGCACTTGGATGGCTTTTTTTTAGCCGTCACATAACAATACAGGCACACAGAAATCGGTATTACTATTTAGTAGGCAGAAAAGAAGTGATACCACTTAGAATATGATATACTACCTACCATTTGTATTTACTCTCTTTGTATATAGGTATGTTGTGCAAGCTCATTTCGAAAAATATCATTGAAGTCTGACAAAAGAAATTGTGCTGTGTAGTGGCGGTGTAAGAATATCCACTACCCCATATAGACCCGTGGGTGTCGTTAGAGGCGACAGAGGGAAACAAATAAGGAGATGGGCAGCAGCGTCTTCCTAATAACGACTAAAACAAACTGCGATACCAACCCGCTTGCCAAGCCTTGCCACTATGACAAATAATATGAGACAATCTATGGGGGAGGCCTATGTTCAGCTGTGGACTTTAATATGCTGTAACGGTGACGGTAAACGAAATTTTAATTTCTTTCGTCGAATAAAAATGATTACATTTTTCTTTCCAATCGAATACATCCAAAATGTAAGAACAACAGTCCATATCCCTTTATTAGTACACAATTATACAAGACTTTGAAAATTTGTATATTTCGGCGATATTATAGCATCACACACCTTCTTAGTATTTTTAATTATAAAATTTTATGTGCGTTTTACAACCGCCGCTCGTTTTGGCAGCGAGCCATTGCGGGCAAACGGCCTCCGTGTCATCTCAATGACGCCTTTAAAAACAAAAACACTGGCCGGAGAAAGTTCAATGCAATTCGTATTTTTGGCGCGCTCTGCCGCCATGTTGAATGTGGCGGTGTGGATAATCCTTTTTAAAAATTAAACGAAACGGATTAAGCGATTTAGATTAAATTTTGTATTTAAATAATGTTTGTTCTCCTATTGTTTATTATATTTTATTAATGTTTACCTATTTTTTTTTATAGGATAGGGTGACAAACGAGCACACAGTCCACCTGATGGTAATTGGTTGCTGTGACCCATAGATATCCACATCTATCCTCAATAAAGAATCAAAATGCAGATGTGTTGTCACCCGTGAGGACTAAGATGGAATGCCTCTTTTCCAGTAAAAAGGGTCTCCGCGTCTCTACACTCACCATACGAAACACAGCAGTGTTAAGCTGCTATTTTACGCTGGTATTCTGCGAGAGCGTGGTCGTACCTCGGTCGAACCGAGCCATTTGTGTTGCAGCTTCATTGAATATTTCGGTATCAAAAAAGATCCGTATTGTAATATAATTTTATGGACACCATATTCTATTCCATTATTGCACGGTCTCCTTTCGGTTAACATTAATATATCCCAATGACGGATGACGGATAACTTGACCTTTACCGTTGTCTTCTTTTTGTTTTGAGTCTAAAGTGATGAAAGTTTAATATCTATTTTCGCGCCATTGTGTAAACTTGGCGCGCTTTTTCTTATTTTTTATTCTCGCCATATTGGGCGATTTTTTTTAAAACGTTACCCCCACACTAGGATTTTCTCCTGTATCGCAGAGGCAGTTTACAACCACAAATTGCACAAGGGCAAACATCCAGACCCGGAACAATTATTTGTAGGTCATGTATACTTATACTTGTTCCGTGCGGGATTCGAACCCGCGGCCCCCAGCGCATCAACTCATTGCTAAGTCACTGAGCCGTCGACTATAGGCACCTAGAGTATATTTGTTCTTTAAGACTGTATTCAGCTTTTGTTAGCTCTTTGTCTTTTATAGCTTCATCTGACTCATTACTCATCTCATGTCTCGTCTACTGGATTATTTTATATGCGTACCTACTCTCTATTCTCAATTCTCATAGTCCGATGGGACGGAAATCCGACACTATCGCAGAAAGTGCAGGCGCAAGACTTTAGACTTCCGAGGCGCGGATCTGAATCACCGCCAACTTCCTGACTCCGAGCTGCTATTTAGATTTTTTTTTTATAGAAAAACCCAGTAACTGATTTTGAGCCGATTTGAGACTAACCTGGAACCACATGTCGCGTTTACGACCACTAGGCCAACGTCGTAGAATAAAAAGTGAAATGCCAATACAGTTTATAAAACTCGTTTCAAAACAAAAAAACAACACTTAAATCCATGACTGTAAGAAATCGAAAGCCTATAGTAAAATTATGAGGCGGAATTAAAAACAATTCTGTCATTGCATAAACAAATCTATCCCGTTGTTGCACCATATTATCCTTACAGTTGTCTTATTATAAAAGAGATTGAAACAAGGTTGCAGAAAATACTAAATATGACGCACCGGTGGCTAAACATGTTGGGAAAAGCGATTTATCGTGTTAGTAAGCCGAGAATCGCCCGTGAGTGTGCACGAAGCGCGGGAAATGCGCATTTTCCCGCGCAGCGTAATAATTTCTTTGTTTGAATTTTATCTGTTGTAGACTAATAATCTGTGCGAAAACTTTAGTGTTGCACTGTCAACAAATGATTGATTTATGAAGTTGAATAAACAGTGGTTAATTTTTATTTATTTATAAAATTTACATACACGTATCTCATATAATTTTTTGTGCTTTTATAAAATACTGGTGGTAAAGAAAAATAATACAAATTAAAATGAATAGCATTAGGTATTTTTTCCATTTAGTGGCCGGAATATATATATTTAAATATATTATATTGAGCGTTTAAATTCTTGATTAAAAAAATTATCATGGTAAGTGATGGCAACGAGCTAAATAAGTTAGGTACCTACGTGCCAAAAAAATTTGCGCTGCATAAACAGTTTTTAGCAAATTTTCACACAATTAAATGTACGGACAATAAAAATTTCCGTTTGCATACGTAATTTCTGGCTCTGTGTTGTTTTTTTTTTAAAGTACCTATTTATTGTTTCAATGGAATATTTTTTTGTTAATAGTTTGTTCATTCTATCATTTTTTTTGTGGCAATCTATTGTATTTAAAATTTAAATACAGATAATACTAAATAATAATAAAACTGTAAGTGCGTCATTCATGTTTTGCAAGTGTTGTTTACTATTTATTAGGCTGCCAAATTTATTCACTTTTACTCAGCTTGAAACGTATTATAAAAAAAGCTACTAAACACGCTCCGTTTCCCACAAAAATGCCTATAGCAGTTTTTCTGGATTTTTGTATTAATTTTTTAATGCCACAAAATTATTAATTATAAATTAATACAGTTAGACTCAACCTATCGTTCCAAAAAAAAATTTAAATTCAAATTTAGTTTCAAACGGCTTTTGTTTGCGGTGTACTGTTATAAAGTTTCCTTTTGAATTACTTGGTTGTTTAAAATGTTAATTATATTCTTGCCTCCAATAACGAAGTATTCGTGTTAAGTAATTCAAATGAAGTATAATTAGTTAGATACGAAATAAAATTCTAACATAACACACTACGTTGAGCGTTGTTGTGAATGTATCGTTAAGAATTTAGGCGAAATGCTTGGTTTATTGTGAGGTAAAAGTGTGAATATTAACGAAAAATAATTCAGTCATGTTCATATTACTATAGAATAGCAGCCTCGTACTGGTAAACAAAGTGTAGAGCGGCTCCCTACTAGCTGCAGTGACGACCTGGTAAAAGATGCAGGAAGTCCTTAGAGAAAGCCTGTGTTCAGTAGTGGACATGTGAAAGGCTGTAATGATGATGATGACGATAGAATGAGTTTGGTCAGACTTGATAGATTGATAACTTATCACGTCTTTGTTCATAACTTATCATGCATTTTTTTAATTCACTAGACCTACTATCAGTAAATATTTAGTTCATTGTAGCTAATAAAATATAAAGTAATGATTCTTAGATCGTGTCAATAAACTGAAAATAAATAAGCCTGTCGCCATCTATCGGCCAGTTAAAGAAATAGTAATACAGGTGATAAAGAGTGCGAATATACGAAAACCTTTAGCTGATTCTTTTGTTTTCGGTCAATTCACAATGCTGTTATATTCAAGGTTATATTATCAATTTAGGTATTTCCTCGGAAAGTTCTGAAATATTTGGCGTAAAATCAAAAGTGAGTGACGCAGTGACGATGTCTCCTAACGGGAAGCGCTCAAAAATGTTTGGACAAAATGGCGTTAATAAGTGACAACGCATCAAGATGTCTCCAGACAAGCGCAAAAGGAGTGACGTGTACGGTGATTGTAACATAACGCCTAGAACTCTCAAGATTTAGTTTAGACCATATTATTAGTTTTGATCTCACAGTATTTTAATGCTCAATTTTGATAAGTGATTCATCAACAATGATCGCCTTGAAGAAATTGTACGGAGACGAGCTGCTGCGTCTTGCGTTAGTTCTCAGCCTCCTGAAGTCGAACCCGGACGAGTACCTGCAGGACGAAACACAACAGCTGATCGCCGGCTTGAACATATCCAACGGATCCGATTGGTCGTTAGAGCCGGAGACGAGGACGCTGATCCGACCGAGGTTCGTCCACCCGAAGTCCTTGGACAACATTCTGATCAATTACGAGCGTCAGCTGTTCGAGGAGTTGAACTCCCTCGGGCGCTACGCCAATTCATACATAGAAAACAATGTGCGGATACGAAGCAACAGTGTGCTTCATACATATTTACTAAACGATGTTTCGACGCACACAGTAGCGCCCGCGCTCGCGCCGACGCCGGAGCTCGAAACGGGACAAGATGGCGTCTCCGCGGACGACAACGTAGCGCAAGAAGTGAAGGTCGACAACGAGGAAACTGAAGAGGGCGCCGCGACCAGCCAACCGGACGCAGTGGTGACACTGTCGTCCGACTTCTTCTCGAACCGATCCGAGTCGGACATCTTCGGCGAGATCGCGTCTCGGTCTTTCGATGTCAACGAATTCCTAGTCCAACCCGCCGAGATGCAGATCAAAAAGGAGCCCCAGGACTCGCAGGAGTCCGATCTGTTAGACGTTAGAGTGAAGAAGGAGAGAGAGACTGATGATCTTTATAGCGACAATGCGATCGACGATTTTGTGCCTTATTTTAGTGCTAAAGCTGAAAAATTTGAGATAGGCGAGCCCCACTCCTTATACCGTCAGAACCTGGCGGATCTGCAAGACTATAACGAAATGTTTGAGGACCTAAAAGAGCTTCGGAGCGACCTAGATTTGGATATAAAACAACAGCAAGAGAATCTCGAGCAATATTTGCTTGAGAACACGCCTTTAGATCCCGAGGTGTATGATCTGGCTCCTGTGTTTGACGAGGAGTTGGTGTTGGACGTGAAGAGAGAAAGAGCGAGCACTAGTTTCACTTCGGCTAGTTCGAGCGGTGTGAGCGAGTTGGACACGTCTTCAAGCGGCCTTGACGTAAAGTTGGAGCCGGATGAAGGGCACCATAGTGGCGACGAGTTGACCCAGGAGGTAAGAGATTTTTAATTATAACTTATTTTGAGTTCTAACTTTTTATTAAAATTTTAAGTATTTTCTAAAGGAGTAAGAGTGACAAACCAGCACACAGTCTACCTGATGTTAAGCGATCGCTGGAGCCTATAAATCTACCTTTATGACCTTTGACTAGGCATCAAAATGCAGATGCATTGTCGCCCCTGAGGACTAATATGGAATGCCTCGTTATCAGCAAAAACGGTTTCTGGTGGTCGTCACCAACCATCCGAAACAGCAACACTTAGCTGGTGTTTTACGTTAGCATTCTGTGAGTGTGGTCCTTCCCCGGTCGAGCCGATTCATTCGTGCTGCAACCATAATATAGCTGCAGCGTGGTTCCACAACTTTAAAAAAAAACGTGCTGATTAACCGAGAAGCCCGTATGTATTCACACCTGAGGACAAATATGGAATGCCTCGTTACTAGTTAAAAGGGTCTGCAGTTCTCTCTCACTGACCATACGCAATATAGCTGCACCAAGCTCCTATTTTACACTGGTTTGCTATGAAAGCGTGGGCCTTCCGTTGCCGAGTTGACTAAAAAGGTAAAGTTATAATACAAATAATTAACAGAGAAACCAGTATGTCCTGGAAATTAGAGGAGACCTGAGCCCATTATTTTCTTTTACATAACTGAAGTAACAAACGAACTCACAGTTCACCTAATGATAAGTGTTTACTGCAGATCATGGGCACGTGCTTCCATCTTCAGACGAAGAGCGCTACAGATCTGTTGTCACCTTTGAGGACTAAGATGGAATGCCTCCACAGTCTGCGTTTATACTGGCTCTCTATTCTCATCAGACGGGATATATCAGTGCACGTACTGCTGCCTGCTACCATCCACTTACCCAAATCTGGTGGGTGGTACCTACCCAGACGGACCTCTACGTCGGAAGGGCTGCTACCACCTGGTATTTTACACTTTTTTTTTGTATAAGAGTGACAAATGACTTCACAGTCCACCTGATGGTAAGTGGTTACTGTGGCCCATAGACATCTACATCTATCCTCGATTACGAATCAAAATTCAGATGCGTTGTTACCCGATGGTATGCATCGTTTCCAGTGAAAAAGGTTTCCGGTTGTCTACACTCACCACACGAAACACAGCAGCACTAACATGTTATTTTACGCTTGTAGTCTGTGAGAGCGTGGTCCTTCCCAGGTCGAGCCGACCTATTCGTGCTACAACTATATATTGCTGCAGCAATGCTCTGCCACGTATAAAAACTTATATACTAGTATACGTGAAGCATTACGCCATATTACTATCTAGGTCAGATTTTTTTATTTTATTTTTATTTCTTTTTTATTATTGTTTAATGCCTTACCGTTACAGTTGCAGCATATAAAAGTCCACTGCTGAACATAGGCCTCCCACCTAGATTGCCTCATAGGAAGATATATGCCATAGTCGCCACGCTTGGCAAGCGGGTTGGCTATGACAGTTTATTTTTACTTTCAGTCGTTATTAGGAACACGCTGCTGTCCATCTCCTGATTTGTTTCTTTTGTTGATTTGGATGATATGGGGTAGTGGATATTCTTACACCGCCACTACACGGCTGTTTGTATAATACCTTATTATCATGTTATTACAGTGTCACGACATTCGAATGGTCTAAAGATAAAATATGTTTTTTTTTCTCTGAAAACAATTTCAGATGTCTGTCTAGTTGGAAAAAGAATTGCGTGGACCGTAGATTCAAGGTTTTCTTTTTAAAACGCTGTTTCATTTAGTAGTTTTTAAATTACTATGCCCTGGCGGAAAGGGAATCATTAACTCTATATAAATTACCATAAGATATAATATCTTCTTTTCTGCTGACTTCCAAAAAGGAGACGGTACTCAATTCGACTGTATGTTTTTTTTTATGTGTTATACCTCATAACTTTTTACTGGGTGAACCGATTTCGATGATTGTTTTTTTATTTGAAAACTGATACATCTCGTGTGGTCCCATATGAATTTGATCAAGGTCAAACCAATAGTTTTTGAGTTATTTTTAATAATTTATATTGAAGTCGGCTGTACAAAATTTTGAATTTTAAATTATTGTGATAAAAGTTGGCTACGTGTCCATCTTAAAATTATGTACACATATCTTTATATATAAAAATTACGTGTCACGTTGTTTGTCCGCGATGAACTACTAAACTATTGAACTGATTTCAATTAAATTTTGCACACTGTGTGCAGTTTGGTCCAACTTGAGAGATAGGATAGTTTTTATCCTGATAAGTGACACTCAAAATTTTTTTATTACGAATATAAGGATGTTTTTATATGAAGGGTCGTCGAAAAGGGCAGAACAACGTCTGCCTGGCCAGCTAGTGTATATTATAAAAATCGATTGCTGTCCGTTAGTTTCGCAAAAACTTGAAAATGTTTGAGTGAGTCCCTGGATGGTTTCGATTCACAATTGGACCCGATAGATAGCGCTGTTTTCGAGATCCTATAAAGCTAGTTAACTATAAAATCTAATCGGTTTTATCTCACGGTATTGACATGGTCCTACCATTACATATTACAAACACAATGGTTACCGTTACCCTTGTGTTAAATTACTATTTAGTGTTCATACCATTTAGATTCGTATTAATATAGTCAATAGAAATATTTTTTTAAACTTGCCAAAACAGACATTCTATACAAATAAATAAAATTGAAGTGTCTGTTTGTAATGTCGAAATAACAGCTTTTTACTATATGCATATGAAAGTATATACGGTACTTATAACAAAAACACAATTTTTAAAATTTTTGTCTGTCTGTTTGTTCCGGGTAATGTCCGAAACAGCTGGACCGATTTTGACCGGACTTTCACTGGCAGATAGCTGATGTTATAAGAAGTAACTTAGGCTACTTTTATTTTAGAAAAATAATTAGGATTCCGCGCAAAAAATTAAAACCCATGAAATCCATTCATAATTAATTACGCACGGGCGAAGTCGCGGGAAGCAGCTAGTCTTCTATACTATAATAAAAGTAACAAGACGTCTATTGGCGTCTTTTGATTTACACTTGGACCCAGTGGGTGGCGCTGTTTTCGAAATCCAGTTTTTTTAGAAGATAGGGTGACAAACGAACAGGGATGGAAAAAATCATGATTTTTTTAATTTTAATCAAATCATACTGATTTTTTAAAAAAAATCATGATTTATTTGATTTTTTTGAATTTTTTGATTTATTTGTGTAAATTTTGAAATTCACGAGTTGGTAACACTTTTTGAAATAGTAGGATTAAAAGTTTATGAATACATATGTACGAGACTGATTAACCGATTCAAACAAATATTTCATGATACGCCAGGCGTGTTATGAAATATTTTTGAAATATGTGTTAAAATAAATATCTTTTTTATGCCTTTTTCACTTGTTTAGACCTAATTAAGTTTAGTTGACATCAAACATCAGTTACAAACGGAAGAATACTTGTTTCTAGTGGGTAACTACGTGTTTTTCTACGTGTTTTCTTTGAAATTGAGAGTAAGTGAGTTTTTTATGCAGATATTACAAACATTTTGTACTATTTTTGTTTTATAAAAAAATCATTTATATAAGTATGTACAGATAAATCACCCTGAAAAACCTTGGTTTTTATTAAATTAAGTTTTCACCTAATAATAATATTTGTAATTATCAAACAATCAAGAACCTTAATTTGGAAAAAATAAGGTTTATGATTAATTAATATTAACAAATGTTAAATATTATTTAATGTTATACAAATGTAAAAGTAAAGTCGATTTGAAAACGTCTAATTTAAGAATAGCAAAACAAGTGTTTTCAAAATGAAGCAAACGCCGGCGCTATACGGCGACGGATTGACAAAAGACTATTTATTAGCGAACTTTTTTTATACATGAACGGTTTCACACCATACCACATGGTACTTCGGGTCTATTCGGCCATATGATAGTAATAAGACGGCAGTTCAACCATTTTAAGCAAAATTAAACAATAAGACAAATGCATTGTTTTTTTTAACAGGAGACTTGTTTTCCAGAAATTTATTTACAACTTGAGTTTGTGAGCGATCTCGCAAGGAGTGCTATTATTTGTTACTTATTAGACTATTTTTCCACAACATGATTGAAAACCCACAAAGTAAAAAGAGTACCATGTACAAGTTAAAAAAAAGTTGTCAACCCCTAAAAATTTCAAATTTTCAAAATATCCAGAAACGAAGCCGCAGGCATGAACTACTTGCAAAATAATGTATATTTTGTTCTGGATAAATTTTCCAAAAATGCAATTTGAGCGAGTTATAACGATTTTTAAAAAGACACGACTCGTGTGTCATACGCCACACACAAAAGTAATCGATGGCACGCCTGGAGTGCCATCTGCACTGAACCGGTTAAGAGTAAAATAATTAATACTGTATTCATTACAGTTCATATCTTAAGGGTGAAATACTAAAAAAAATTTTGGTTGATTTTCCAAAGTTTATGAGACTTGTAGTAGAATAATGAGAATAACATAAAACAATAAAAGATTTTACCTTAATTGTATTATATCATTTTCTGCCTGTATTATTTCATTTTCTGCCTGATATATTAATTTATACATGTTGATTTAAATCAATGATTTTTTTAATCAAAATCAAACGATTTAAATCGTGATTTATATCATGATTTTAATCAGTCTGATTTAAATCAGCCAACCCTGCAAACGAACACACAGTCCACCTGATGGTAAGTGGTTGCTGTGGCCCACAGACATCTACATATATCCTCGTTTGCGAATCAAAATGCAGATGCGTTGTCACCCGTGAGTACTAAGATAGAATGCCTCTTTTCCAGTAAAAAGGGTCTCCGGTTCTCTACACTCACCATACGAAACACAGCAGCAAGCTGCTATTTGACGCTGGTATTCTGTGAGAGCGTGGTCCTTCCCCGGTCGAGCCGACCCATTCGTGCTACAACTATACAATTAATATAGCTGCAGCATGGCTCTACCACGTAAACA